CCGATTTTGATGCGCTTTGGATATGTTGTAGAGCATCAAAAAGTAGTCAACACGTATTTTTTTTATCGGCCATATATTGAGTTTAGGGGTTGAAACAGCCCTTTGAAAAAAAATGACTTTTCCATTTTTATTGAATATTTCCTAAAATATAAGGTATATGAAAAAATGTTTCCTACAAAAGTTGTACAGTATTTAACGCTCTTTGAAACAATATATTAGATTTTTTCAAAAACATTAAATTTTTGAACCCCCCCCCCCCTACTCATTACCTTTGCAAAATTTGTTAGTTTTTGTAAGGACAAAAATTGTCCAGCATTTGGTATGAAACAGCATTTCATACCAAATCGATCCATATATAATATTATAAGGTGGTCTCGATTAAATAGTCGGAAAACGTCGTGATAATATTGTGCTATTATACGTCATATTATTATATTACGCGTTATATTGTGATATTACGCGTCATGCCGTTCAAGTAGATGGATACTGTAGCTAGATACGTTACTGTAAGTAGGGGGATGTAATTAATTGTAAAAAAATAATATATAGACAATTGCATATATTTAATGTATAATGTTTACAATTTATAATGTTATTATAATATTTTAAAATTATATAATATAATTATGATATAATCATATATCATGTGTATGAGTCATACACTATTTACAGTCCCGTGCCCAAAGAGGAAGATCGAATTACATCAACAACTACTGTTTAGTACTAAAAATAGGTTTTATTCGCTTCGCGCAACACAATCATGTGATCATCATGCGAAGTTTAATTTAGTCATTTCATCGTACTGCGTACAATTTAGACTCTACATAAATGTCCGCAACATTTCAAAACGTGCATTTCGTTTCGTGAGTTGGTACTGGGAAGAATTGTGTGTTATATACGAACTGTGCGTTGTACAGTAACCGTTATACAGTATATTATGTATCATAATGTATTGAAATTATGTAAGTATTTATTAACTTGTATTATTATTTTATGCTTGCCACTCTTCACTTTTATATTATTGAAATAATAATAGTTTATTCAGTTAGTATTGTACGGAAAAGGAAATAAAATAGAGTAATAGTTAAATTGTAGAATATATTTATTAATGGATCAATATTGAAACGTAAAACATAATTCTTATGCTACTTTAGACAAAAAAGAAATACAGTTATGTCAATCGAAGATGTGTACACTGTTTCTTTCTTTTTTTGTTAGCGAAACAGTAACTATTAGGTGGTAAACTTAGTTCCTGCGGCTCTCAGTTAGATGACGTTAGTTGTAAGTGTAATTTATTTTGACATCTGAAACTGGCTGCATTTTAGAGGTTAGACATTTGTCAATAAAATTCAGTGCAAAGAGATTCATTTAAGCGAGCAGTGCTATTTTTTCTTTTGATTAAATATGGAACGTGATAAGTTGTTTTTTCGACATGTGCTGCTTCATTACTTTGACTTGAAAAAAACTGCAGCTGCAGCTCATAAATTGCTTTTCGAAGCTTATGGCAATTATGCTCCATCGGAAAGAACATGCCAAGTATGGTTTCAGCGATTTAAGAGTGGTGATTTTGATGTCAATGATAAAGAACGCTCAGGCCAACCGAAAAAGTTTGAAGACACCGATTTGCAGGCATTATTGGACGAAAACTCTACTCAAACGCTCCAAGAATTGTCTGCAGCATTAAATGTTACTCCGATGGCTGTTTCCAAACGTCTACATGCAATGGGAAAAATTCAAAAGGAGGGAAAATGGGTACCACACGAATTAACCGCAAATGCCATTGCGAATCGCTTAAACATCTCTATTTCTCTGCTCGCCAGGCAGAAAAAGAAGAGTTTTTTGTGGCGCATAGTGACTGGCGATGAAAAATGGATATACTTCGATAATCCTAAACGAAGAAAATCATGGGTAGACCCTGGCCAACCATCGACATCCACACCAAAGAGAAATATTCATGGCCACAAAGCAATGCTTTGCATTTGGTGGGATATGCACGGCGTCGTTTATTATGAGCTACTCAGACCGAACGAAAGTATCACGGGGGATCGATATCAATCACAATTAAACCGTCTGAATGAAGCATTGTTGGAAAAAAGGCCAGCAGTAGCCAGCAATCGACGTAAAGTCATGCTTTTGCACGACAACGCTCGACCACACGTTGCCAAAGCCGTCAAAGAAACACTGATGCAGCTCGAGTGGGAAGTTCTCCCGCACCCAGCGTATTCACCAGACTTAGCTCCTTCGGACTATTACTTGTTCCGGTCGATGCAGCACGGCTTGGTGGATACACACTTCAGAAATTACGAGGATGTGCGAAAATGGATCGACGAATGGATTGCATCAAAAGACCAATCGTTCTATCGTCGCGGAATCTACGCGTTGCCCGAAAGATGGGAAAAATGTATAGCTAGCGAGGGAAAATACTTCGATTAATGTATTTTTTGCTTTTGATGTCGAAACAAATGAGTTTTTTAAACAAAAAAACCGCAGGAACTAAGTTTACCACCTAATAATATAGATACATACTTGTATGTGAAATATTTATACAGTCTTAGTCTATAGAAATTCAATTTCAGTTACCTAGGGTTTTTCGTATTACTTCTATCCTCTTTTTTTATGAACTGCGACGCTACTCGCGAACGTAATTTCGCGAGCGACGGCAGACAGTGGCCTGTCAGCCGCGTCGACAAATTACCGTCGGCTCCAGAACACGCCGCTAAGATGCACGCGAGAGTTGGGCGCCAGATGCGGAAAGGCCGCATCACCTCGATAAACGCGAGAGCCGATAATTATCGCGAAAATCGCGCGTCCCGGAACCGTCGGGACGATAGCTTCTAGGAGGTTAAAGTCGGAGACGGGATGGGTTAGGAGAAGGCGAAATCAACTTGACTTGATTTTGATAATAAGAATTACGTTTATTAGGGGACTCTCGCACGTCCCGATATTCGATACGCGATATGAGGTCGTAACGGCAACTCTCCTCGAGAGGCGGTGTCGCGAAAACGCCACGCGAAGCCCGAGGACGACTTCCTCGGGCGAGCCTTTTCTTAACCGCGCGACCACTCCGCGGACGAGACACGATACGATACGCGACACAAATAAATTTCGAGCAGATGGTCAGTCTTAAGGCCTTCACACATAAAATTCCGTAAGGACGTAAGACGTAAACTTAAGACGTAAAACGTATAGTCTATGACACACAGTTGATGTAAAACCTAACGTTCAGCTAATAGTAAACGCGAAAAGATCTCTATTTATAAAAGGTAGGTATAACATAAATGTTATATTACTGTTTGTGTTTGCTGGATAATAACAAATGTAATAACAATTCATATATATCTTAATTGTGAAGAAAGATTGATACCTTGTGAATAAAGAATTTTATATATCTATATAAACAAAACTATTTTTCAGGTTATTTGTTGAAGAAAAATCTTACAAGATGAAACAAGAAGATATAATATTTATACTATTGATTTTGAATACAGATTTAATAGTATTACGGAGGAAAAGATCTCAAAAGTGGTTGAATCGTCAGTGGTGGGTCCGACCTATTAATCATAGGCGTCTTAATCTGGGAGATTTCTGTCATTTATTTCAAGAAATGAAAAGTGATCCACAAATGTTCTTTCGATATACGAGGATGACATTTCCAATTTTCAATAAACTATTAGAAAAGGCAAAACCATTTTTAACTAAAAAAAGTCATAGAGCTTTAGTACCGGAAGAACGTCTTGCTATAACGCTTAGGTATAATTTTTTACTGTGTGTCATTACATTACTCTCAAAATTAATGCTTAAAAATGATTATGCGCTTCTCATAATTGTCTAAAGAAAAAAGCAAATATAACTACTACATATAAAATTTTACGTTATGACTGAATTATTCTTTGTATTGACTGAATTATATTTCTAATTGTTACAGATATCTTGCAACTGGGGACCAAGTATTATCAATCGCCTTGGCTTATCGTATAGGGGAGTCAACAGCATATAAGATCATAAAAGAAACATGTGACGTCTTAATAAAAATATTAGTACCTGATTATCTTCGACCTCCAGTACAAGAAAAATGGATTAAAATCTGCCATGGCTTTTGGAAAGATTGGAACTTTCCAAATTGTGTAGGAGCCATAGATGGCAAACATATTCAGATACAAGCTCCGCCAAACTCTGGGAGTTTGTACTATAACTATAAAAAGACTTTTAGTATCGTACTGATGGCAGTCTGTGATCACAATTATAAATTTACTCTGGTTGACA